TGATCTACTGTGCTTGACTTGCCGCTATTCCATCCATTGTCACTGTTTTTCATAGTCCTACTATAATTACTATTCGTCTTTAATCTATATTTATATATGTATGTGTCCGTGTTCATTTATAGTTTTTCCCCCTTTCGTTGATTTATATTATTCAGTTCGTTTTTATAGTATATTCTAGTTTATATAATGCCTTTTGTGAATATATATATTTTTATCTTTTATACTTATTTGTCTATTTGTTTACTTATTTTTGAGGGCCGTAGGTTAGAAAACTGTAATAGGTTACTGCGCTTCCCTCTTTAAATAAAGTAATTTTATTGTATTCAATTGTATTAAACGCAGATAGAGCTCTCGGAAAGATCAATCAAAATGATCGGTCTTTTACGATGATACTTATCGACTTACATGATATGTGATGGTAGCAAAAATTTGCTAACTTGATGCCTTATAAGCTTATGATAATCAAAAGGACAATCCGTGGACAGAGCTGAATAACGTACACGCATGCGGTAGGTTTTGCCAAGGAAACACGGATTTTAAGTGGTTCGCATGAATGATTTCCTATTCTGTTGCTTCGAGGTGTCACTTTCCTTGTCGCTTTTCTTTTACAGAACAAACCTCCAAAAACTTGGCACACCCCCTAAAAATTTTCAAAAATTAATTTTCTCCTTAAAACCTCTGAAAACAGGGAAATGCCTTCGACGAAAACAGAACTCCTCGGTTTTAAAAGTCAGCCCTTATTATTTTTCGCTAATCTCGCTAAATTTTAGACCTAGGACACCTGAGCCCGCGTTGTTGACAGCAACCCACTGACTCTATCCAATCCGCCATCTTTGATCAGACCGCGCCTGCAATTTTGTTCAGCGGTCATCTTTGATATTTATTTGGCATGTTGTGTTGCCAGTCTACAAAGCTTAAGATGTAACAGATTTACGGCTGCCAAATTATTTGACTTGTTATTTATTAAGCTTGAGATAGTTGCTGGTTCACCGAAAAACAAGTAAGCCCGTGATATATGGGTCTTCTTTGATCCTATCAGCACAGGGAAAAAGAAAAGGGTTAAAAACCTGACACGCATGTAGAAATCACTTACATATTTTATCCGAGGTTTCCTGCATACATTTGATATGTAATCTCTTGCAGCTGTCTATTGTAATATCTGGCTCTTCGTCGAGGTGTACCTTAGAAATTGGTCAACTGCAAAAGTGCGGATTATTACTGAAAGGTGGGGTGAGGAAAGGGGGGAATCAACAATCAATTTCGTAGTAAGTATCAGACAGAAGTGTAATTGCCGCTCTTAAAGATTACAAATAATAACCGACAATAATAATAACAATAATAACAACAATAATGATGGTTTATTAAAAGACACATAGTGGCTGTTTCGTTTAGTAAATAGGCGTTGCCTATGATGATAGATATAATTTAATTAACACAACTCGTGATTGAAATTAATTGCTCACAATGATTTAAAGTGTTAGCTTGTCGTGATGTAAGCCAGTTTTTTTCAGAAGAATCAGTGAGAGAGAAGTCGATTTTTGTATCTGCTCGCTTACCCGAATCTGCTAACCTGAAGTGAGAAACCTGTTTTTACGACCCGCCACAGAAGTAAGTTTCCAGTCATGTTTTCTTAAATTTTGCCATGAGATTAAGACTAAATTTGCGTTTTCTGATTTCGAATTACAAATGTATTTCTCTTAGATCGGATAATCATTAAAGTTTGGATAATATTATACGGTCTATGGTGGTCGTCTGAGCTGACCAGTTCCAAGTAAGGAAACATTTCATTCGATTTCTGGGTTGTAACGAAGAATTACGGAAGAGCACATGGTCGAGGACGCCCTGAAAACTGCGAAAACTGAAAGGAGGACTGCCAAAGGAACACTCACCCGATGTGGAAAGTTCTTGGCAAAGCTATTAGAAGCGAAAAGACCAGAGCAAGAGGTAAGAGATGGTCTTAGTAAACTACAGTTAGCGTTTGACAATCTTGTGGCCAAACACGATCATTATTCACGGTTAATTGAAGATGACAGTGAGTTCGAAGTACAAGAAGGATGGATGGCAGATTGTCAAGAAGACTTTATGTCAAAGGAAATAGGCGCAAAAATATATTTGGATTCTTTCTTAAGTAAGGGAAAGGCCCCATTACAAGCTCATGATACATCTACAGCATCTAAAGGGAAAAATAATGGTGTTGGTGGGCCGGGAAGTAGTGGAATTCCAAGTATTCAAATAGAAGACGATGTCCCTTGTGTAAGTTCTGGCGGTTATCAACCCATTAACACCCATCAAAGTACAAGTTCCTGAAATGATGATGTCGCCCCACACCATGAAAACACGTCCTTTGTTTCGGGAAATGAAATAAATGAAAGCATTCAAACCAACTCTAATGCTACAACTTCCGCCTGTGGTTTTAAAATGGAAAAGCCTAAGATGCCCAGATTTACCGGAGACGTAAGAGAGTACGCCATTTTTCGCGCCGATTTTAAGCATGCGATAGAATCAAAATACAGCAAAAGGGATGCGATAACTTTTCTTCGCACATGTCTGCAAGATAAGCCATTAGAGTTAATTAAAGGGATAGGCTCGGACTATGACGCAGTGTGGAATTATTTGGACGCTATTTACGGAGATCCAAGGTTCGTGTCGGATACGATCACTCAAGACATAGTAAAGTTTAGAGCTTTACAACCGGGAGAGGATGCAAGATTTTGCGACTTAGTTCACCTAGTTAAAAGAAGTTTCAACACTCTGAAGGAGGTCGGAGGTCAAAATGACATGGACAATAGTCACATGCTATCTGTAATCGAGCAAAAATTGTGTTCGGATGATAGAAAGGTTTGGTCGCGAGACTTAGAGCGACAGGGAGAAAGAGCGACTTAGGAGCGACTAATAAAACGGATGGGTGTGGCGATGAAATCACGTATGCGTGCTACTGCCCCATTGAGATCTGGCAGATCAGTCAACGCCTTTCAAGTCGACACACCTAACCAAAAGTGGTACAAATGCTGGTACTGTAAAAGTTCGTCCCATTGGCCAGATACATGCCCTAAATTCGCCGCACTCGGTATCCACCAGCGCATCAAGGTCGCCAAAGAAAACCATGTTTGCTTTAGTTGTATGCAAACAGCCGGAAAGGACCATCGAGTTGATAATTGTAGAAGACGTCGCAAGTGTGCGAAAACTGAGAATTCAAGGGAATGCATGCATCTGCATCACCCATTGCTTCACAAGAGCGCTGCAGTTAAAGTTGGCGTCGCGTCTATCTCCGAACCACATGAAACTCTTTTACCGGTGATAACATACACGATTTACGGTCAAAACGGGTTCAAAAGCAGAGCAACACTCTCCTTGACTGGGGAGCACAGATCAGCATAATCCGCGATGAAACAGCAGCTGCACTGGGGCTCAAAGGAAACGACACTGAAGTAACAATTATCAAAGTGGGAGGAGAAGAAAAGACAATCAAGACTAAAGTTTACAAAGTTCCTGTGTCAGCACCAGACATCACCAAGATGTTCTCAATAAAGGCGATTGGAATCCCGTGCATTAGCGAAGAAGTGGCAGCAGTTCAACTTAAACCAATCGCCAAGCTTCTGGGACTGGAAAACGAAAGGATACGCAGACCCAATAGTCCTGTTGACTTACTGATAGGAATCGATCACGCCCAGATGCATACTGGACAGACCAGGCAAACGGGACAGTTAGTTGCGAGAAAAACGCCTCTGGGACAGGTGGTTTTCGGTGGACCGTCGGAAGCAGCCGAAGTGCTCACAAAGAATTCTTACATGGATGACATTTGCGGTTCTGTAGACACTGTAATGCAGGCTCAGAAGTTGACTGGAGATCTAGACAAAGTACTCGGAGGTGGAGGGTTTGCCGTGAAGGGCTGGACTTCGAACAAAGTTCTGATCAACACAGAAGTTCAAGAAAGGGGATTCAAAATTTTTCAGGGAGAAGTTCAGGAAAAGATGCTTGGAGTGGTCTGGAATTACGTTACAGATGAGTTCAGCTTCAAAGTTAAAGTGGATTTACCGCTCCTGAAAAATCGTTCAGTGGACCGTGAAATAAAGATGACCACGAGAACGCGTCTCAGTGAAGCTGCCCGCTTCTATGACCCCATTGGATTCGAGGCTGCATTCATCATCAGAGCCAGAATAGGTTTACAAGAGCTGTGGCAGATTGGTCTTAATTGGGACGATGAGCTTCCATGTGAGGTACAACAAAAGTGGACTCAGCTCTTCGAGGAAATGAAGGAGCTCGACCAGATTGGTTTCAAAAGATGCCTGGTTTCACCCAAAACTCCAGAATTTCCAGCACTGTGTGTCTTCTCAGACGCCTCGCAGGAGGCATTTGAGGCCTGCGCGTATATCCGACAGAAAACGAAACAAGGCACCTATGAAGTTAACTTCATCGCGGCTTAGTCTAGGGTGGCACCCCTAAAGGAGCTGACAATTCCCCGTCTGGAATTACAAGCAGCTGTTCTCGCCTCCCGCCTCACGAAAACAATAGTGAAAGAGTGTACGGTTCAATTTGGCGATGTCAAAATCTTTACGGACAGCAGTATCACACTTGCATGGATTCAACGCCCTTCCCGCGGTTTCAAGTCGTTTGTCTCGGCAAGGGTTGGAGAGATCCAGAATAATTCGGATCCAAGTCAATGGAAGCACATTCCCGGTGAAGAAAACGTAGCGGATGATTTATCGTGAGGATTGCATGGAAAGCAGCTAACGGGGAGATGGATGAACGACCCAGAATTTCTGAAACTTCCAGAAGAACGATGGCCATTCCAAACAGCTACACTGCATCGAGAAGAAGATATGGAGCGTCGCCACGTCAATTCCGTCTGAGCAGCTTCGCCTGCAGATGTCGGAAATGTTATGAACGTGGAGAATTTCTCTAGTTGGCGAAAACTGATACGAGTCACCGCGTGGATAAGGCGGTTAGCCGAGAAGATACGCTTCAGGAAAAATGCAACCAGTGGACGAGAAGGACCTCTCATGCCCGAAGAGTTAAGGAAGGCTGAGATGTCATGGATCAGAAATGCCCAAAAGGATTTGAAGAGTCGAATGAGGAATGGAGAGTTTAAGACCCTGAGCCCGTTTGTTGACGACAAGGGGATTACCAGGGTTGGAGGAAGAATTGACAAAGCCCTCGTGTCATACGAAGAAAAGCACCCAGTGCTGCTTCCCAATGAGCACAGGATATCCCTGCTGATCACACGCGATATGCACAACCATGGTCATCCCGGAGTAGCGACAACAACTGGAAAAGTCAGACGAAAACACTGGATCTTGAAAGCGAACAAGCTCAGCAAGACAGTGAAATTTAAATGTGTCACTTGTCGAGAAATGGCACACAAGGCAGAAACGCAATTAATGGCAGACCTTCCGGCTCTTCACTTAGCTCCGCAAACGCTGCCTTTCTACTACTCCTCATGCGATTACTTTGGTCTATAAATTACAATGTGCTTAGATAAGTTACAACAAGAAATAAAACTAAGTCTGTTTCAAAGGGACTGGGATTACAGGCTATTTATGACTTATTTACATTTCAGATATAGATAAAATGCTATAATAGAGTAATCAAACTCATAAGATTACTTGATTTTCGTTGTTGCTGGGAAAAAACTAGAACTAAAGCGTTTTGTTCTATACTGAAAACAGCTGGAAAAGACGGTGCAGCTGGCAGGCCGGATTATTTTTGAAATTGTGCCACACATTGAGACACAGGTGGGCGCATCTATCCTCTAAACTGATAGTGTTGGCTCGCACAAGGGCCTGTTGACAGTGGAGGTCAGGATATACGATTTGCATGACCCTCTTCTGGATAGCCTCAAGCTGGTCAATGAGGAAGCGAGGAAGGCAGGTACCCAGACAACAGAAGAGTATTCGAGAAGAGAGCGAACCAGAGCACTATAGATCGTGACAAAATCCACTGGAGGGACCCCAGCGCGCTTCAAGACCCTGAGGATGTGCAGTCGCCTGGACGCCTTGGAAACGATGTCGTTGGTGTTATCGTTCCACTCAAAGGTGTCACCCAGGGTCAGACCGAGTACTTTGTAGGATGACACAGCCTCTGGATGTAAGTTATTGATGGAAAGCATTGGGGGAACAGGCTTGGTTTTGAGTGGACAAATAATCATGATCTTGCATTTTTGGGGTTGAGATTCATGTTGTTCTGCCGGGCTCATTACGAAAAGCAGTCGATGTCGTTCTGCAGAAATGACGCTTCCCCCAAACTGGTAACCTCGGATATTGTTACATCATCGAGGTACTTCCAGTGGCTCGAGCGGAGGGGGGAGTGAATAGCCAGGTCATTAATCATTATCAGAAAAAGAATTGGCATGTACACCGGCATGTACGCGCATCTACCCAGAGATGTAGTCTAAGAGCTTAACAACCTGGCGGCGGCCACTGAGGAAGCTGCAAATCTAGCTGATCAACCATCCTCTAACACCTAGATGGATTTGCTTGGTCACCAAGATGGTGTGGTCAATATGATCAAATGCTTTACTAAAGTCTAAAAAGCACACACAGAGGAACTTGCCACTAATGTTGACATCAAAACCCAGAACAGTGGCGGATCCAGGGGGAGGGTCCGGGGGATCCGAACCCCCTCTATTAGACCTGACGCCTACAACTTTGACACAAGATCGTATATCACTTTTTAACTGGATGATTTTTTTAATGAATCCAAGTAAAAAAGGTAAGCGGCCAAGGAATTATAACGTGCAACGGTGACTGGTAAGAAGGGGTGTGGGGATGAAGTAATTTGCCTCAAAAGAGTCCAACAGTCCTTTCTGAACCAAAGTTTGGACCCCACCAATCAAAAATTCCTGGATCCGCCTATGCAGAAGAAAACCTCCTTTGTGCGCAGAGGCTTATACTTTTCTTAATGACTCAAGTGGGCCAGAGACTATGCTTCCCCGAACTCCTTCAAGTCCGAAAATGTTAAATTTACAGTTGGCAAAGCAATTGATGAGAGAAACTGTGTAGTAAGGACGTCGGCATGCATTTCAAATTGTCGGAGTGTCAGACTCAGCTACATTTTCAGAAAGTGTGTACATGAGAGCAGGATTTTGCGACACCAACTCTCGTGTATTTGCAAACATCCCAGGCATATGGTGATAGGAAAGACAACTAGAATCCTCCCTTTTACATTTCGCGGATCCTCGTGTTTTCGCAAACGTCTGTGAGGTCGTTAGGGGGCAAACATAGCAAGTTAC